CCATTCTGCTGTGGAGAGTCCGGAAGCGTGAAGGTCTGGCGGATGCCTCGTGCCCGACAGTAGGCTCGCAGAAGGCCGGAGGAGAACTCTCCGCCTCTGTCCGAGTGCAGACGCAAAACAGGAAAGTCCGAGCCGAAGCTCCGCCTGAGCTGGAGACGAGCTGCGCGGATCCAGTCGATCAACACATCAGTGACCTCACCCTTGCTGCGCAAGGGGAAGACTGTGGTGTAACGCGAGTAGTCGTCAACCACCAGCAGGAAGTAGCGCTCGTGACCCTGTCCACGGACGCGGGCTGGGCCCCACACGTCCATGTGAAGCGTCTGCATCGGGGCCTCCGTCGGAGGAAACGGGGAGGAGTGAGGGGTAGCCCGCAGGCGACCCTCGACACAGGGGACACAGGGAGGGCCAGGCCCCTGGAGGAAGGGGAGGGAGGGACCGGGGAAGGCCAGAGACAAGAAGGCAGGAGGCCATGCCCCGGAGACGAGGCAGAGGAGGGGTGACCCATCCTGTGGTGCCACAGGAGGGTCTCGTGGGACAGGAGGCGACACGAGCAGGGGGCAGACTCAGGACCAGACCTGGACGCTGCAGCAAACACCTGACCCGACGCAGCTACCTGACCAGACGCAGGAGGAGGAGACGGAACAGTGAGTGTGTACAGGCTCGACCCCGGCCCACGTGTGAACGTGGTCAAGTGTCGACCCGTGTCCGCTTCCGTGTAGTGGGTGTCGCGTCGGCGTGCAGGGGTGAACTGGTCGACCCCTGCATCCTGTAGGTCAGCACTCGCCACCAAGTTCGTAGAGAACGAGGGGAGGTAGAGACCGGACAGGGCGCCAGACGGGACCGCAGGGCACGGCAGGAAAGTGGAGTAGCGAGCCAGAACAAGACCCCCAGAGGGGTCCGCCAGGGAGACCGCCACTGGCCGACTAAGCGGCGTGAGTGTGGTGCGGTCTCGAAAGAAGGAGCGAGACGCCCCTGAGTCAAGAGTGAAGGTGAGAGAGGGCGGAGCCGACGCAGTACCTGAGAGAGCAGACTCACCAGCACCTGAGGACACAGACTCACTGGCACCTAGAGCGACAGCCTCACCAGCACCTGGAGCAGCAGCCTCAACAGCACCTAGAGCCGCAGTACCAATGCCCGGGTCGGGCGGGAAACACCGGTAACAGTCACCCTCCTCACTAATAGTCACAGCATACATGGCAGCAAGAATAGCATCAAAGTCAAGATCAAAGATAGCTACTCCTGCCCTAGACAGCTGCTCCCAGCGAGGGATCTCAGAGGCGTCAGGAAACTGGCGGCGCCAAGCGTCAGTCAGGCGGCCGAAGCAGCGCTGGGCGGGGTGTGGACCACCACACGGCTCACCCGCACGGTCGCCCGTGCGCAAGACGTAGGTGCACGGACCAGTACCCCCACCCCTCTGACGTGCAGCGTACCACTCACGGAGCTGCTGCGGGGAGAGGGTCTCCTGACCACGCTGCTGCCGCTGCTGTTGGCGCTGACCGCCACCGGAGCCACTCCTCTGCGACGAGCCACGACCTCCTCCGCCGCCTCCTCCGCCGCCGCCGCCACCACCTCCGCTGCCACCGCCACTCTCACCGTCGCTGCCCGCCACCGCCGCCTCCGCCTCCACTCCCACCACCACCGCCGCTGCCACCCCCGCCTCCACTGCCGCCGCTGACACCTCCACTCCCGACACCACTCCCGCTACCACCCCCACCTCCTCTGCTGCCTCCACCGCCGCTCCCACCGCCCCCGCCGCCTCCACCACCGCTCCTGCCCCCTTTGCCCTTGCCAGAGCGACGTCTCCCACTGGGGGCAGACGCCGCACCGACCGACTCAAAACCAACTAGGTCGGCCGTAGCAGCAGAGGCGACAGAGGGCAGGAGGGGGGAGGGGGAACACCCCTCAAAGATGGGGGTGCGCGGGTCACCACGAGAGGCCCCTACAGCGAGAATGCTCTTCTCGGCTGCTAGGAGGGACTTCTCGAGGAGGTTAACAGTGAGAGTGGTGGGGCAGACTGAGAGTAAGTCGTCCCTGACTCCGCGGAGGGAGTCAGGGAGGCGGGTGACAATGTAGTAGAGAGTGAAGTACTGGGGGGGGGGGTTCTTGGCGCAGAACTCAGCAGGAAGCGCAGCGCGGAAGCGAGCGTCACTAGTGCGCAGGTGGGTAATGAAGTCGGCGACTGTGGCAAAAGAAGCAAGGTCGGGAAAGAGGTACGGTAGCATGAGGCGGCTCAGTGCAGCAGTGGCAGGGGTGGAGTAGTGTGCAATAACGGCGTCGTACAAGGTCTGAGCACTCTTGTACGACCCAAAGTGTGCACGCTCAGAGGGAGGGAGGTGGCGACGCACAGCAAGACGTGCAGCAGCATCGCGTGTGGCCCACTGTGAGCGAACAGTGGCATCCTCAGTAGCAGCAGGGGCGGGAGAGGCACCAGAAGTGAGATCAAAGAGAGAGAGGCCGTCAGCTCTGTCGCACTGTAGGAAAAGCAGCAGGTCGTCTACCCACACGTCAAAGTCGATGGCTCTGCCCTCAGCGTCGAAGGTGAGGACACTGGGGGTAGCCATGACAGCAGTGGGGTAAGGGCAGTGCGCAGAGCAAAGCTCAGTGCTCACCAGACAGGGCAGTGCAGGCGGCTCGGGCGGCTCGGGCGGCTCGGGCGGCTCGGGCGGCTTGGGCGGCTCGGGCGGCTCCGGCGGCTCGGCGGGTCGGCTGCTGGGCGGCTCGGGCGGCTCGGCGGCTCGGGCGGCTCGGGCGGCTCAGCTGCTGGGGCGGCTCGGCTGCTGGGGGCGGCTCGGTTGCTGGGGCGGCTCGGCTGCTGGGGCGGCTCGGCTGCTGGGGCGGCGCAGTTGCTGGGGCGGCGGGGCCGGGAGATGCAGCTGCGGGTCCGTTAGGGGTAGTGGCGGGGCCGTTAGGGGTAGTGGCGGGGCCGGTAGGTGAAGCGGCGGGGCCATCAGGTACAGCAGCGGGGCCGGCAGGTGAGACGGCGGGGCCTGCAGATGCAGCAGCGGGGCCGTCAGGGGTAGCGGCGGGGCCGGTAGGGTGCAGTGGCGGGGCCGTCAGAGGGGACGGCGGGGCCGTTAGGTGCAGCGGCGGGGCTGTCAGGTGCAGCGGCGGGGCCGTCTGAAGCAGCGGCGGGGCTGGCAGAGGGGACAGCGAGGCCGTCGGGTGCAGCGGCGGGGCCGGCAGAGGGGACGGCGGGGCCGTCAAGCGCAGCGGCGGGGCCGGCAGAGGGGACGGCGGGGCCGTCAAGCGCAGCGGAGGGGCCGGTAGAGGGGACAGCGGGGCCGTCGCAAGCGATCGCGGGGCCGTCAGCGACGGCGCCGGCGTCGCGAGGGTCAGAGGGGGGGGCGGCGCGCGACTGGAGGGCGGCACGCGCGACGCGGCGCGGCTGTCTAGGGGCGGCGCGACGAGGCCGCGTAGGTGGCGCGTCAAAAATTCGCGGGCGGCTCGACGCGATCGGGCCGCCAAAGGAAAAAAAGGCCCAGCGCGACTCGGGCTAGGGCAGAGCGCGCTCCGGGCAGGACGGAATAGTAGGTGGGCCCTAGGAACAGTTCCCACTAGGGAACCTGCTCGATACCATGTTGAGATAGAGGCGAGGAATGAGTGCACTATGAAATGAAACAAGTACATGTACCAACCCTAATTGGGTTGTACCCCCTATGGGCTACCCCACTACAGCCTAAATATATGCATCAGCAATATAATCATCTGACATATATATATGTGACAGTACAAGCAAGGTCAAGAAGTGAGCAACTGAGGCAAGACACGCACAAGACCAAGCTGAGTACAGAAGCGCTGATGATCACAAGGCGCAAGTGCCTTGGTGAAAACATCAGCAGTGTTGGCCTCAGAGGCCACGTACGCAAGCCGCAAGTGACCACGTTGCTGTAGCTCACGAGCAAGGAAGTAGCGAAGAGCAATGTGCTTTGTTCTGTGCTCCAGTCTCTGCTCTCGACACAAGGCCAGCATGGCCTTGTTGTCTACGTACAGGACTGGAGGAGAACGAGGCGGCTCTCCAAGGTCGGTCAGCAGGTAGGTGAGCTAGCAAAGCTCCTGTGCAGCCATGGCCCCGGCATAGATCTCGGCCTCACAACTGGAGCCGAGAACAGAAGACGAGCGAGTAGCCCGCCACGAAACAGAGCCGGAACCAAGGCTGAAGGTGTAACCCTGTGACGACCGCTGCGTAGCCTGGTCGTCAGCCCAAGAAGCGTCCGCGTGCCCAATGAGGACCACTGGACTCTGCCCTCCAAGCACTAGCCCCATGCCCGACGTACTGCACAAGTAGCGCAACACCCTCTTCGCTGCAGCCATGTGCTCTGGTCTGTGTCTCCCAGGAGCAACATAGCGTGCAAGAATGCTCAGAGGGTATGCAAGGTCAGGTCGTGTGCAGGTCATCAGGTACATGAGGCAGCCAACAAGCTATGGGTACGGGCCACTCGACTCTACGGACTCATCCGAAGGCAGAGCTGAGAGCGAGTGGCGAGTAGGCAGAGGAGTGGCCTGAGGCGAGGAGTACGTGAAGTCGAAGCGCTGAAGGACCTGCTGCACCATGTGTGACTGAGTCAGGGTAATGGTGCGGCGTGCTCTATCCCGGGTGATCTGCAAGCCAAGATAGCTGCGCAGTTCACCCAGGTCTGTGCACGTGTGTCTCTTCTGCAGCTCGAACTTCACGTGGGCGAGGTCCAGCAGTGTCAGCAGTGGCAAAGACCAAGTCGTCGACGTACACGAGGATGTAGAACGGCGGCAAAGAGGTGTCGGTGCGTAGAAACAGCGATGAGTCAGGAGTAGAGGGAGCAAACCCAAGAGCCGCAAGCGTAGTCCTCAGTGTGTCGTGCCACTCACGCGGGGCCTGGCGGAGACCGTAGACTGGCCGTCGGAGGTTCCATTGGGTGCCAGGAGGGAAAGTCCCAGTGAAGCCAGGTGGACGGCGCAACCAGATCTCCTCGTGCAAGCTACCCTGCAGGAAAGCAGTGCTGAATTCAAGGGAGTGAAGCTCGTAGTCACGCTGAGCGGCTATGTGTAGCAGTAACCCGAAGAGTGGTCATCTTCGGGGTGGGAGAGAAGGTCTGAAAGTAGTCAACTCCCTGCCGCTGACTGAAGCCACGAGCCACGTACCGCGCCTTGAAGACAGGCGGAGAGCCCGGCGGCCGCTTCACCCTGAAGATCCACATGCCACTGACGATGTTAGCCCCAGGTGGGGGAACCGCGTCAACGTAGGTGCCTGTGGACTTCCAGGAAGCCATCTCTGCATCCATAGCTGCCTGCCACTGAGAGGAGTAGGGACCCTCTACGGCCTCCGCGTAGGAGCGCGGAGTCGGGATGTCAAGTGCATCCGGGTCTCCCTCAGGGGTAAGCAGTACGGACACGAGATGAGGTGAAGCGGCAGCCAGACACTGGAACTCCTCCTGCCTGTCCTCAAGGAGGTCCATGCCAAGAACACACTCACACCCCGACGGACGGAGGACAGACAGACGCAAACTGAGCAACGAGACTAGCAGCATAGTCTAGACGACAGCGAGCAGCAAAGTCGACGAGCTTAGCAACAAGAGCAGACGCAGCAGTGGACTCAAAAGAGGGGTCAGTGACGACAGTAGCAAGGAGACGCGTGACAGTAGGACTGGCAGCACGAAGGGAGTCCGACTCCGGGTCGGCAAGGGCAGGAAGAGAGGACTCAGGAGGAGAAGGCAAAGGGGCACGCAGAGGAGCAGTGGACGGATGCAGAGACATCCGGTGCGTGCCAGGGACAGGAGGAGGACGCTGACAGCGAACCGCGACCACTAGCGCGAGCAGCACGAACCGGCGACGCAGGACGAGACGCAGGCTCACGACGCTCAGGCAAGACCTCCAGTAGGACCAGTGTAGGGAGAAGGAGCAGGCAGTGGGGAGAGCGGCGGTAACTGTGACTGTGACTGGACAGGCGGTGGACACTCTAAGGGAGGAGGAAGACCAAGAAACCTGCTGAAGGAGCGGAACAAAGTACGGCCGAGGCCGCGCGGCGACTCCAGACACAGCAGGGACAAAACCAGCACCCCTAGTGGCAGCACCAACGCCAACAGCACCTCCAGCTCTAGTACCTCCAGCAGCACCAGCAGCAGGACCGCCGCTAGGACTGACAGCAGTAGCCTCAGCGCCAACACCCTCAGCAGCTCCGACTCCAGTCGCACTCGCAGGCCCAGCAGCTCCAGCACTCCCAGGGCTAGCACCTCCGAGACCGGCGGCACCAGCACCCTCAGCAGCCGAAGAAGCACCAGCTCCAGCAATACGCCTCCAGCGCCGCGGGGCAAACCACTCGCGCAGCTCCTGTGGAGAGAGTGGCTCCCGCCGAGACGAAGCACCCGGAGAACCACCAGGCCCAGCACCGCCAGACGCCACACGAGCAGGTCCAGCGGCCGCGTGCACCGCACCCCCCAGGCTCAGCGGCTCCAAACTCAGTACCCCCAAGCTCAGCAGCTCCAGACGCAGCACCCCCCAGGCTCAGCATCTCCAGACGCAGCACCCCCAGGCGAAGGACCCCCAGGCTCAGCACCCACCTCGCGCAGCACCCCCAGAGTCAGCACCCCAGGCTCAGCACCCGCAGCAGTACCTAGAGTCACCGAGCAACCTCGACCGGCTCGACTGCGTTTACCTAGGACACACCTGAAGGGGCAGGACCCTGAGGGGGGAGGGGGTCTACCTGGGGGGGACCTGGCACAAGGAAGTGCGGGCGGCGGGGGGAGGGAAGGAGTGCGGTAGGGGAAGAGACGATAGTAGGGGACCGACTCGTCAAACGTGACGTCCTGGGAGGACAGAACACGACGAGAGGAGGGGTGGTAGAACTGCCACCCTGGTGGCGTCAGGGGGGAAGCCAAGGAAGACTCAAGAGCAACACGGGGGACATTTTGTCCGCAGACAAGTCGCGGACAAACGCCCGAGATCCCAGACACGGAACGCAGGACGCATCGCCTACCTTCCCCGTCCACAGCAGAGCTGGGGAGGTCTCCGGCATGGAGACCCTGGGGTGAAGGTTGATCTGATGCGCCGCGTACCGAACCGCAAACGGCCACAGAAAATGGGGGCAAGCCGCATGCATCATGGACGTACGAGCGACGTCCATGACCATGCCAATGCGGCGCTCAGCAATCCCATTTTGCTGTGGAGAGTCCGGAAGCGTAAAGGTCTGGCGGATGCCTCGCGCACAGGCAGGTAGGCTCGCAGAAGGCCAGAGGAGAACTCTCCGCCTCGGTCAGAGTGCAAACGCAGAACAGGAAAGTCCGAGCCGAAGCTCCTCCTGAGCTGGAGACGAGCTGCGCGGATCCAGTCGATCAACACCTCAGTGACATCACCCTTGCTGCGCAAGGGGAAGACTGAGGTGTAACGCGAGTTGTCGTCAACCACCAGCAGGAAGTAGCGCTCGTGCCCCTGTCCACGGACGCGGGCGGGGCCCCACACGTCCATGTGAAGCGTCTGCAGCGGGGCCTCTGTCGGGGGAAACTGAGAGGAGTGAGGGGCAGCCCGGAGCCGCCCCTCGACACAGGGAACACAGGAAGGACCAGGCCCTGGAGGAGGGGAGGAGGGACCGGGGGGGACCAGAGACAAGGGCACGGGAAGCCATGCCTCGGAGACGAGGCAGGGAGGGGTGACCAAGACGGTGGTGCCACATGAGAGTCTCGTGAGACAGGAGGCGACACGAGCAGGGGGCAGACTCAGACCAGACCTGGACGCTGCAGCAAACACCTGACCCGATGCAGCTACCTGGCTAGACGCAGGGACAGGAGGAGACCCAGTGGTCAGGCTGTAGAGGCTCGACCCCGGCCGACGCGTAAACGTGGCCAGGTGCCGGCCTGTGCGAGCGTCGAAGCAGTGGGTCACCCGCTGACTCGCAGGAGTAAACTGGTGAACCCCCGTATCCTGCAGGTCAGCACCACTCACCAAGTTCGTAGAGAACGAGGGGAGGTAAAGACCAGACAAGGTGCCAGAGGGGGCAGTCGGACACAAGAGGACAGTGGAGAAGCGAGAGAGGACAGGACCCCCAGAGGGGTCTGCCAGGGGAGACTGCAACCGGCCGACCAAGCGGCGTGAGTGTGGTGCGGTCTCGAAAGAAGGAGCGAGAAGCCCCTGAGTCAAGGGTGAAGGTGAGGGAGGCCGAAGCCGACGTGGTACCTGAGAGCGCAGACTCACCAGCACCTGAGGGCGCAGACGCACTGGCACCTAGAGCAGCAGCCTCACCAGCACCTAGAGCAGCAGTAGCAATGCCCGGGTCGGGCGGGAAACACCGGTAACAGTCACCCTCATCACTAATAGTCGCAGCATACATGGCAGCAAGGATAGCATCAAAGTCAAGATCATAGATAGCTACGCCTGCCCTAGACAGCTCTCCCCAGCGGGGGATCTCACTAGCCTCCGGGAACTGCTGACGCCAAGCGTCCGTAAGGCGGCCAAAGCAGCGCTGGGTGGGGTGGGCACCCCCAGACTGCTCACCCGCGCGGTCGCCGGAGCGAAGGACGTAGGTGCACGGGCCAAAACCCCCACCAAGCTGACGCTGCGTATACCACTCACGGAGCTGCTGAGGAGGGGGGATGTCCCGAGAGAACGCTGCTGCTGCTGCTGCTGCTGCTAGCGCTGACCACCACCGGAGCCGCTCCGCTGCGAAGCACCACCCCGACCAGCTCCACCTCCTCCACCACCAACGCCTCCACCTCCGCCACCACCGCCGCCTCCGCTCCCACCGCTACCGCCGCCGCCGCCTCCGCCTCCACTGCTGCCACCGCCACCTCCACCCCCGCCACCACTCCCACCGCCACCCCCACTCCCTCCGCCGCCTCCACCGCCACCTCCCCACCCCCGCTAGCTCCACCCGCGCCCTTGCCCCCCCTTGCCCTTGACCAGAGCGGCGTCTCCCGCTAGGGGCAGACGCCGCACCGACCGACTCAAGACCAACGAGGTCGGCCGCAGCAGCAGAGGCGACAGAGGGCAACAGGGGGAAGGGGAACACCCCTCAAAGATGGGGGTGCGAGGGTCACCAGAGAGGCTCCTACAGCGACTATGCTCTTCTCTCCGCTGCTAGGAGGGCCTTCTCGAGGAGGTCAACAGTGAGAGTGGTGGGATAGACTGAGAGGAAGTGGTCCCTGACTACGCGAAGGGAGTCAGGAGGAGGGTGGGTGACTATATACTAGAGAGTGATGTACATGGGGGGGGGGGGGTTCTTGGCGCAGACCTCAGCAGGAAGCGCGGCGCTGGGTAGCGAGTGTCACTAGTGCGGAGGTGCGTAATGAGGTCATCGACTGTGGGAAAGGCAGCAAGGTCAGGAAAGAGAGTACGGTAGCATGAGGCGGCTCAGTGCAGCAGTGGCAGGGGAGGAGTAGCGTGCAACTACAGCGTCGTACAAGGTCTGAGCACTCTTGTACTGACTAAAGTGGCGCAGCGCTCAGTGGTAGGCAGTGGCGACGCACAGCAAGACGTGCAGCAGCATCGCGCGTGGCCCACTGGGAGCGAACAGTGGGGTCAGCATCCAGCAGAAGGGGCAGGAGAGGAGCCAGAGGTGAGGTCAAAGAGGGAGAGACCGTCTGCCCTATCGCACTGTAGGAAAAGCTGCATGTCATCTACCCAAAACCTAAAAGTCAATGGCTTGACCCTCAGCGTCAAAAGCGAGAACACTGGGGGTAGCCATGACAGCAGTAGACTAGCAGTAACCAACTGTAGGACAGGGGTAGTGCAGTGACAGAAGCGCTGCTCTCACCAGACAGGGCCGGTCGGGCAGCTCAGCAGTACAGCAGCACGGCAACACGGCTGTTCGGGACGGCACAGCAGCAACTGCGGCTCCGTGGCACCAGCGGCTCGGTTCCTCAGGCGGCTCGGGCGGCTCAGGCGGCTCGGGTGGCTCGGGCAGGCTCGGGCGGCTCGGGCGGCTCAGGTGGCTCGGGCTGGTCGGGCGGCTCGGGCGGCTCGGGAGAGTCGGGCGGCTCGGAGCGGCTCGGGCAGGTCGGGCGGCTCGGGCTGCATCGGGCGGTTCGGGCGGCTCAGGGCGCGCGGGCGGTGTAGGGCGGCAGGGCCGCTGGTGGAAAGAGGGGCGGCGGGGGCCGCAGGTAAAGGGGCGGCGGGGCCGCTGAGAAGGGCGGCGGGGGCCGCTGAGAGGGGCGGCGGGGCCGCAAGGTAGAAGGGGGCGGCGGGGCTGCTGAGTAGGGCGGCGGGGCCCCCCCCCCGCCCCTGAGAAGGGCGGCGGGCCGCAGTAGAAGGGCGGCGGGGGCCGCAGCGAGAGAGGCGGCGGGGCCGCAGTGTAAGGGCGGCGGGGCCGCTAGATGGGCAAGGACGGGGCCGCTGAGAGCGGGAGGCGGGCCGCTGAGACGGGCGGCGGGGCCGCTGAGACGGGCGGCGGGGCCGCAGCGAAGGGCGGCGGGGCCGCAACGTGAGGCGGCGGGGCCGCAGCGAAGGGCGGCGAGGCCGCGAAGAAGGGCGGCGGGGCCGCTGAGACAGGCGGCGGGGCCGCAGCGAACGGCGGCGGGGCCGCAATGTGAGGCGGTGGGGCCGCAATGTTAGGCGGCGGGGCCGCAGCGAGGGGCGGCGCGGCCGCAGCGAAGGGCGGCAGGGCCGCGAAGAAGGGCGGCGGGGCTGCAATGTGGGGCGGCGGGGCCGCAGCGAAGGGCGGCGGGGCCGCTGAGAAGGACGGCGGGGCCGCTGAGAAGGGCGGCGGGGCCGAATCGACGGGCGGCGGGGCCGCTAGGGCGTTGGGGGGCCGCTAGGGCGGCTCGAAGAGGTGAGAGCCTGGAGCGCGACTCAGGCTGAGGGCGCTTCGGGCAGGAAAAAAAAAAAAAAAAAAAGATCGATGTGGTGGGCCCTAGGCACAATTCCCATGGGGGAACCTGCTCGATACCATGAGAAAAGTAGAACGAGAATGAATGACTATGGAATGAAAGTGATACAAATATGCAACCCTAGAAATGTGTACCCCATATGGGCACAGGACTGCCACCTCAGCGAGCACATGACCACCGAATCGAATTAGAACCAGGGGCACAGCCAACCGTACAGCGCCAGTTCAGACTGACACAGCCCGAGCTCGACGAACTAAGGAAGCAGCTAGATTACCTGTTAGAGAAAAAATTCATCAGACCGAGCTCGTCACCGTTCGCCGCACCGATACTATTCACGCCGAAAAAAGACGGGGGTTTTCGCATGTGTATTGACTACCGAGCACTGAACAGGGTAGCAGTCAAGTCGCGGTACCCAATTCCTCGCGCCGACGAACTGATCGACCAACTACGAACACACGGGTTTTTTCAAAAATAGATTTATGGGGAGGTTACCATCAGATTAGGGTCGAACATTGGACTGCGCCAAAACTGTTGAACAAGGAATGGAATGACTAAGAATGAAAATGAGTACGAATATGGAAACCTAGAAATGTGTACCCCCTATAGGCTAACCCACTGTAGCCTAAACAACTACAACAATATATATAATGTTTGACACACCCCCATAGGCGAAGTGGGGGAGAACTAGGGGTCACAAGACCAGTCAAGCAAAGCAAAGCAAAGCAAAGCAAGCTCAGGGTGGATCACAATGTCACCACACAATCCGAGCACAAGTTCAAGGCCACAAGGCCAGTTCACATGCAGGAGTACATATATATATAAGACTAAACAAGCAAGAGCAGTTATATATATATGTATCAGTACAAAGAAGGTCAAGAGGAGAGCAAGTGAGGCAAGACAGACACAAGACCCAGCTGGGTACAGCAGCGATGATGATCACAAGGCGGAAGTGCCTTGGTGAAAACATCAGCAGAGTTGGCCTCAGAGGCCACGTACGCAAGTCGCAACTGACCACGCTGCTGTAGCTCACGAGCAAGAAAGTAGCGGAGAGCAATGTGCTTTGTTCTGTGCTCCAGTCTCTGCTCTCGACACAAGGCCAGCATGGCCTTGTTGTCGACGTACAGGACTGGAGGAGAACGAGGCGACTCTCCAAGGTCAGTCAGCAGGTAGGTGAGCCAGCGAAGCTCCTGAGCAGCCATGGCCCCTGCGTAGATCTCAGCCTCACAAATGGAGCCGAGAACAGAAGACGAGCGAGTAGCCCGCCACGAAACAGAGCCGGAACCAAGGCTGAAGGTGTAACCCTGTGACGACCGCTGCGTAGCCTGGTCGTCAGCCCAAGAAGCGTCTGCGTGTCCAGTGAGGACCACTGTACTGCGCCCTCCAAGCACTAGTCCCATGCTCGACGTACTGCACAAGTAGCGCAACACCCTCTTCGCTGCAGCCATGTGCTCTGGTCGGTGTCTCCTAGGAGCGAAATAGCGCGCAAGAATGCTAAGAGGGTATGCAAGGTCAGGTCGTATGCAGGTCATCAGGTACATGAGACAGCCAACAAGCTCTGGGTACGGGCCACTCGACTCTACGGACTCATCCGAAGGCAGAGCTGAGAGCGAGTGGCGAGTAGACAGAGGAGTGGCCTGAGGCGAGGAGTACGTGAAGCCGAAGCGCTGAAGGACCTGCTGCACCATGTGTGACTGAGTCAGGGTAATGGTGCGGCGTGCTCTGTCCCGGGTGATCTGCAAGCCAAGGTAGCTGCGCAGTTCACCCAGGTCAGTGCACGTGTGTCTCTTCTGCAGCTCGGACTTCACGTAGGCGAGTCCAGCAGTGTCAGCAGTGGCAAAGACCAAGTCGTCGACGTACACGAGGATGTAGAACGGCGGCAGAGAAGTGTCGGTGCGCAGAAACAGCGACGGGTCGGCAGTAGAAGGAGCAAACCCAAGTGCCGCCAGCGTAGTCCTCAGTGTGTCGTGCCACTCACGTGGCGCCTCGCGGAGACCGTAGACTGGACGCCGGAGACTCCACTGGGTACCAGGAGGGAAAGACCCAGTGAAGCCAGGTGGGCGACGCAGCCAGATCTCCTCGTGCAGGCTGCCCTGCAAGAAAGCTGTGCTGAAGTCGAGAGAGTGCAGCTCGTAGTCACGGTGAGCAGCAACGTGCAGGAGTACCCGAAGAGTGGTCATCTTCGGGGTGGGGAGAAGGTCTGAAAGTAGTCAACTCCCTGCCGCTGACTGAAGCCACGAGCCACGTAACGCGCCTTGAAGACAGGCGGAGAACCCGGCGGCCGCTTCACCCTGAAAATCCACATGCCACAGACGATGTTCGCCCCAAGAGGGGGACAGCGTCAACGTAGGTGCCTGTGGACTTCCAGGAAGCCATCTCTGCATCCATAGCTGCCTGCCACTGAGAGGAGTAGGGACCCTCTATCGCCTCCGCGTAAGAGCGCGGAGTCGGGATGTCTAGTGCATCCGGGTCTCCCTCAGGGGCTAGTAGTACAGACGCGAGATGAGGTGAAGCGGCAGCCAAGCACTGAAACTCCTCCTGCCTGTCCTCAAGGACGTCCGTGCCAAGGGCACACGCACCCCCGACGGACGGAGGAGAGACAGACTCAGACTCAGCGACAAGACTAGCAGCGTAGTCTAGACGACAGCGAGCAGCAAAGTTGACGAGCTCAGCAACTAGGGCAGACGCAGCAGAAGACTCGAAGGAAGAGTTAGTGACGGCAGTAGCAAGGAGACGCGTGACAGTAGGACTGGCAGCACGAAGAGAGTACGACGTAGGGTCGACAAGAGCAGGAAGAGAGGAAGCAGGAGGAGAAGGCAAAGGAGCACGCAGAGGAGCAGTAGACGGGCGCAGAGACATCCGGTGCGTGCCAGGGGCAGGAGGAGTACGCGGACGCGAACTACGAGCACTAGTGCTAGCAGGACGGACAGGCGACGCGGGCGAGACGCAGGCTCACGACGCTCAGTAAGACCGTCAGTAGGACCAGAGTAAGGAGAAGGAGCATGCAGTGACTGGACAGGCTGTGGACACACTAAAGGAGGGGGGGACCAGGAAGAGGTGAGAGACCAAGAACCTGCTGAAGCAGCGGAACGAAGTACAGCTGAGGGCGCGCGGCGACCCAGACACAGCAGGGACAGCACCAGTGCCCCCAGCGGCAGTACCAACGCCCGAGTCCGCAGCATCAGCAGGGACTCCAACACCAGGGTCCCCAGCACCAGTCGCAGCTCCAACGCCCGGGTCCTCAGCACTAGCAGCAGCTCCAACGCCCGGGTCCTCAGCACCAGCAGCACTCCAACGCCCGGGTCCGCAGCACCAGCAGCAGCTCCAACGCCCGGGTCCGCAGCACCAGCAGCAGCTCCAACGCCCCGGTCCTCAGCACCAGCAGCAGCTCCAACGCCCGGGTCCTCAGCACCAGCAGCAGCTCCAACGCCCAGGTCCGCAGCACCAGCAGCCAGGGTCCGTGAGACGAGGCACGCCACTACGAAGTGTGCAACGGCGCTCGTACCACTCACGGATCCGCTCACGAGAGGGGAGCGCCCGACTAGGAGGAGAAGTACCAGCACCAGTCTCCGTAGAGCGGCAGGTCCCAGAGGTACCTCTCCGGAGACTGCAGTACTGTAAGTACCACTCACGCAACTGCTCCGAGGAGAGGTCTCGTCCAGGCGTAGGACCCCCTGGCCCAGCATCGCCAGAGTCAGAACTCTCAGACCCAGCACCCCCAGGCTCAGCACCCCCAGTCACCGCACCCCCAGGCTCAGCACCCCCAGGCACAGCACCCCCAGGCTCAGCACCCCCAGGCTCCGCACCCCCAGGCTTAGCACCCCTAGCGCCCGCACCCCTAGGCTCAGAGTCGACAGCAACCTCAACAGGCTCGACCGGGTCTACCTGAGACACACCTGAGGGAGCGGCACCCTGAGGGGGAGGGGGTCTACGACAGCAGCACCTGGCGCGAGGAAGAGAGGCGGGGGTGGGAGCGGGGCAGTGCGGTAGGGGAAGAGGCGGTAGTAGGGGACAGACTCGTCAAAAGTGACGTCCTGAGAGGGCAAGACCCGGCGCGAGGCGGCGTGGTAAAACTGCCACCCAGGCGCGTCCGGAACAAAGCCGAGGAAGACGCAGGGAACAGCACGAGAGGAGAGCTTGTCCGCAGACGAATCGCGGACAAAAGCTCGAGATCCCCAGACCCGGAAACGCGACGCATCGCCAACCTCCCCCGTCCACAGCAGTGTGGGCGAGGTCTCCGGCAAGGAGACACGGGGCCAGAGGTTGAACTGATGCGCAGCGTACCGGACCGCAAACGGCCACAGAAAGTGGGGGGCAGCCGCATGAATCAAGGAGGTACGAGCGACCTCCATGACCAGGCCAATGCGGCGCTCCGCAACCCCATTCTGCTGTGGAGAGGCCGGAAGCGTGAACGACTGCTCAATGCCGTGCTCAGCACAGTAGGCTGCCAAGAGGTCGGAGGAGAACTCACCACCTCTGTCAGAGTGCAAGCGCAGGACAGGAAAGTCCGAGCGGAAACGCTCGCTGAGCTGGAGACGAGCTCTGCGGATCCTAGGGATCAAAACATCAGGGACCTCACCCTTGGTGCGCAAGGGGAAGACCGTGGTGTAGCGCGAGTAGTCGTCAACAACGATCAGGAAGTACCTCTCCTGACCCTGACCACGGACGCGGGCTGGGCCCCACACGTCCATGTGGAGCGTCTGCAAAGGAGCAGTCGTCGGGGAAACGAGGAGGAGTGAGGAGCGGCGCGCTGCACCCTCGACACAGGGAAGGCAGGGAGGAGCAGGCGAGGGTGGGAGGGGAGGGAGGACCCTGGGAAGACCAGAGACAAGGTACCGGGAGTGCATGGCACGAAGGCGCTGCACAGACGGGTGGCCAAGTCGGTGGTGCCAGAGGACAGTCTCGTGCACTAGAGAGCGACATGAGCAGGGGGCAGACAGCTGACCTGACGCGGACGCAAACGCAGACGCAGACGTAGCGACCTGAGGGGAGGCAGTAGTCAGTGTGTACAGGTCCGACCCCGGCTGCCGGGTGAAGGTAGCCAAGTGGCGGCCCGTACGAGCACACGTGCAGTGTGTCACACGCTCGTAGGCAGGGGTGAACTGGTGAACACCCCCGTCCTGGAGAGCACAACCTGCCACCAAGTTCGTGGAGAACGAGGGGAGGTGGAGACCTGACAGTGTGCCCGACGGGACCGCAGGACAGGGAAGGACAGTGGAGGAGGTCGCAATGACCGGACCCCCAGAGGGTCAGCAAGGGAGACAGCAACTGGCCGAGCAAGGGGCTCAAGGGCAGTGCGGTCACGAAAGAAACAGCGAGAGGCACCTGAATCCAGCGTGAAGGTGTGCAGTGCTGCAGTCGACACCATACCAGGGGGGGCAGACACGCACGCACCTAGAGCAGCAGCCTCACCAGCACCTGGGGTAGCAGACACGTGGGTACCTGGAGCAGCAGACGCACTAGTCCTAATGCCCGGGTCGGGCGGGACACTCAGGTACTCAGAACCCTCTCCACTAGTAGACATCACATACATGGCAGAGAGAATAGCATCAAAGTCTAGAGCATAGATATCAATCCCCTTCTTCAGGAGATCAACCCAGCGGGGCAGCTCAGTGGCCTGAGGAACTGAACACGCCAAGCGTCGCTCAGACGAGCGAAGGCAACGCTGTGTGGCGTGCGGTCCCCCACACGGCTGGCCAGTGCGGTCACCAGTGCGAATGACGTACGTGCAGCTAAGGCCACCCCCCCCCCCCGTGCTGAGAGTACCACTCACGGACCTCCTGGGGCGACGGAGTGTGCTGCTGTCCCTGGCCACCGCCAGTGCCTCCTCGACCACCACCCCCGCCACCACCCCTCGACCACCCCAACCCCTGCCGGCGCCTCGTCCACCGCCACCCCCACCACCTCCTCCGCCCCGGCCACCTCCCCCGCCGCTGCCGCCACCCCACCACCACCGCTGCCCCCTCCCCCACCGCGCCACCCCCCCCGCCACCACCTCCCCCACCACCGCCACCCCCGCTGTCACCACCACCGCCTTGCCTCCTTTGCCCTTGCCGCTGCGGCGCCCGCTCGAAGCAGCACGCAGTCCCGACCTTCTCAGCACCAAGGAGGTCGACAGCAGCAGTAGAGGCGACAGAGGGAAGAAGGGGGGAGGGAGAACACCCCTCAAAGAACGGGGTACGGGGGTCACTGCGAGAGGCACCTACAGCGACTATGCTAGTCTCGGCTGCAAGGAGTTCCTTCTCGAGGAGGGCAATGGTGAGCTCGGTGGGGCAGCGAGCGAGGAAGTGGTCTCTGACTGAGCGCAGTGAGTCAGGGAGGCGCGTGACTAGGTGGTAGAGAGTGATCCAGAGCGGGGGTGGGTTCGTGGCAAGGAACTCATCAGGCATAGCGGCGCGGAAGCGAGCCTCACTAGTGCGGAGGTGGGTAATGAGGTCAGCGACAGTGTGAAAGGAAGCTAAGTCGGAGAACAGGTGGGGAAGAGAGAGACGGCCAAGAGCGGCAGAGGCCGGGTGAGGAGTAGCGGGCAACGACAGCAGTGTACAGGGCCTGTGCAGTCTTGTGCTGTCCAAAGTGCTCGCGCTCATCTATCGGCAGAGAGTTGCGAATAGCGAAGCGAGCATGGGCGTCACGAGTCTGCCACTGTGAGCGAGCAGTGCTGTCGGCAGTAGCAGCAGGAGCAGTAGCGTGGCCTAGGGCGTGATCGTACAGCGAGATGTCTTCCTTGGCAGTGAGCTGTAGGAAGGTGTAGGTCATCAAGCCAGGTGTCGAACTTCACTGGGCGGCCCTCAGCATCAAAGGCTAGCACAGGAGGGCTGGCCATGGTAGCAGCAGTAGTAAAAGCAGTAGGAGCAGTAGGGTAGGTAGGTAGGGCGGCGCGGCTCGGTACAGGTAGGGCGGCGCGGCTCGGTATAGGTAGGGCGGCGCGGCTCGGGTTGGGCGCGCGGCTCGGTTTGGGCGGCTCGGGTCGGGCGGCGCGGCTCGGGTCGGGCGGCTCGGTTCCGTTAGGGCCGGGCTGTTCGGTGCGGGCGGCGCGGTCTGGGTGGGGTTAGGGACGGGGCCGACGCGGGCTGATAGGGGTAGGGACGGGGCCGACGCGGGCCGTTAGGGGTAGGGACGGGGCAACGCGGGCCTCTAGGGGTAGGGACAGGGGCCGACGCGGGCCTCTAGGGGTATGATCGGGGCCGTCGCGGGCCTCTAGGGTAGGCGCGGGGCCATCGCGGGCCTCTAGGGGTAGAGACGGGGCCGTCGCGGGCCTCTAGGGGTAAGGACGGGGCCGTCGCGGGCCTCTAGGGGTAGGCTCGGGGTCGATGCGGGCCTCTAGGGTAGGCGCGGGGCCGACGCGGGCCTCTAGGGGACGAGCTCGGGGCCGGCGCGGGCCGTTAGGGTTAGGCGCGGGGCCGATTCGGGGCCTCTAGGCAACAGCGCGGGGCCCTACAGGGCCTCTAGAGGCGTGAACGCCGAGGCGCCCTAGGGTAGGTAGGTAGATAGGCAGGTAGGTAATGGTGGGGCCCTTAGGAAAAAAACGGTCCTAGGAAGGACCTGCTCTATACCATGTTGAACAAGGAATGGAATGACTAAGAATGAAATTGAGTACAAATATGGAAACCTAGAAATGTGTACCCCCTATAGGCTAACCCACTGTAGCCTAAACAACTACAACAATATATAAAATGTTTGACAAAACAGCTTTCAGGACTAGGTACGGGTCGTTCGAGTACACTGTGATGCCATTCGGGCTGACCAACGCACCGGCGACTTTTCAGATGACCATGAATGAAGCATTTAGGCCGCTCTTAGATAAATGTGTAATAATTTACCTCGACAACATCCTAGTGTACAGTCGGGATAAGCAGTAGCACTTAGCAGATCTGGAAGCAGTGTTTAAGGTTTTGGACGAGCACAGATTACTGACCAAGGGTTCCAATTGCGAGTTCTTCCAGGATAGGTTAGAATTTTTGGGGCACGTTATTTCGGAGGCTGGAGTTGAAATCGACCCAAAGAAGTTGGATACGGTAAAAGTGTGGCATCCCCCGACAAACATCACGGAGCTGCAGAGCTTTTTAGGGTTCGTTAATTATGTGCGTCGGTTCGTCCGATATGGCACGGTTAACTGCCCCCACTGACGATTTACTGCGGAAGGGGGTCGCTTTT